CTCAAAATAAAAAGGGGTGGGGGTGTAGCTCAATGGAAGGACACTTGCCTTGCTCAAGGGCCTCGGTTCCATACACAGCTCCCCACCCGAGAGCAAGCAACAAGGAACCTGGAGCATCTAAGATGTCGTGCCAAGTTGGCACGTGACAGTCAGCTTGGTCACCCCCTCCCGGCACCTGTGACTGCAGGCCCTGGAGAGCTCTAGAGAGGAGCCATCTCCTTGGCAGCCCACCTCCTGCTTTCTGCTTTCAGCCTCCTGAGGCTCCTTTGGCCACAGCAGGAAGAGTTGGAGCCCCTCTCCCAAGAGACTCAGGATCCCAGTGGGAGGGGACACACAGGCCTGGTGGCAGGGTACTCACAGTGCACACAGTACCTCCCTCCCTCCCAGGCCCAGGCCAGCTTGAGTCAGAAAAGGAATATAGCCTTTTATTGACTACTATAAGTAGAACAAACTAAATACATATTTAATAGTTTTGGTTCATTTATACAGTACATTAAATAAGTTATACAGAGTTAAGTAACAAAAGTTCCTATCAGAGTAAAATGACAAAGCACAGAAAAACCAGACTCTACGCATCCTGTGGGTTGTTTCACATTCATTATCCCTCCTTTGAAAACCACGAGTGGAGGCTCAGTTTTCTCTTCATAGACACTACTGGTTTTCTTTTACAGACGAAGCCCTGTGGCTTCTCAGGAACTCTGAAAGCCATATAAGCCACCGAAGGCCTCTTAGCCGAACAGCCCTTTCAGCCACTCACCGAATGCTTATTGCTGCTGCTTCTCTCTGCCGACTCCAAGGCAGGGACAGGGCTGCCCCAAGATACCAATGGCCTATTTGGTATAAGCATCAGTGAATACACACTGGGCAGCTAGAGGTCTGACCAGACGGAGTCTGCATGAGAAATACCATCTTGGGGCTGCGGAGGGGTAGGTGAGTTCTCAAGTCCGGCTTTCAGCATGCTGACCCTCTCATACCTCATGACGGGAAAGGTCACCCGCTCCACCGTCTTTGGAAGTGAGCATGTCAATGCCCGGGGCAAGAGGCAGGTAGCCAGCGTTTTGGTTTCACAAGAACTACACTCGAGAGTCAGAAAGGACCTGCTGAGCAGCTGGCCAAGTACACAGCCCAGGCTGGGCAGGGCTCTTCTCTGACAGCTGGCCATCTGGCCTATGCTGGAACAGCCCAGGTCCTTCCAGCTTTTCTCACATTTGGTTCAAACATGCCACCACTCCGTTCTCTGCAAAGAGCTAAAAGCCATTTAAGAAATTGGGTTGGTCTCCTGATCAGGGAGCCTGGACATCATGGTTCTAGCCCAGCTCTGAAGAAACGCTCCAAGGTGTGTCCTATTTGGAATGATTTCTTTAATCTTCATCCTTTCTAGTTTTGAGGACAAACGGCCATCTGGTTGTTCTTCATGCTGTACAGAGAACCCACTACCATATAGTTCGAACTGTGTTGCTGAATCTTCAAACATATTTGCTGAGATATCTTCCAGAACTACCTACATCCTTTATGAGCAGGTGACAAGGTTGGGGGTCACTTCAACTTTGGGACAGGACTGTACAAATCAAAACATAGACTTTCCATTGGTGACAGGCTCTTGGTGGGGCAACTGGCCCAGGTGCCCAAAGGAGCCCACACTGCAGAGGATAGCAGCCAACATTAGGTGTAGACCAGGAGTCGGCGTTTCCAATTTCCATGTGCAGACCCACTGGCAGACACAGGACTCCACAGTGCCCTAGGTAAGGTCCACCTAGCCTGTGCTGACCTGACTGCCTGTGATGTGCTGGGACTACTGCCTTGGAGCTGCAGGGAACCTCAAAGGTAGAGTCTCATACTTTGCAGGGTGCACTGCCTTCTTTCTCAAGAAAGTGGCCTTGAACTTCTTCCACTGCAGGCAAGTGGGGACCCAGAGCACAAACGGGCATAGAATACTCTACCTTCAAGCATCTCTCAGGACATTTATTTTTTTGGGATAGGGTTTAGGTTGGCCTTCAATTCACTAGGCAACCCAGGTTGGCCTCAAATTTGCTGTGATCCTCCCACCTCAGCCTCCCAAATGCTGGGATTACAGGTGTGTGCCATTACACCTGGCTCCTTGGGACATTTAAAGATGGCTCCCACTTTGGTGTCCTCTAGTTCCTGCAGTCAGTCCTCACTTAGCAGGGGACTATGAGTTCCCTGCACTCATCAGTGTTTCTCAGCGGACAATGCTGAGCACTGGCCTCATGCTCCAAATGTGCTCTATGCTTTGGGTTTCTAGGATAATATCAAAGAGCCTGTGACTGACCTGCCACCCTTGTACTACCGCCCCAGCACCTCTAGGAAACATGGGCTCTGAGTACCCCAACTGTTCTGATGCTTTTGCTTTTAAATACTAATGTAGGGTCTGGGGATTTAGCTCAGTGGCACAGTGCCTGGCTGGCAAGCGCCAGGTCCTGAGTTTGATTCCCAGTACCAAAAAAATAAAACACCACAGTGTAATCACTAAAAATCCTAATGTGAGAATGCAAAGTTTTTGGCGGGGTGGGGTGGGGTGGGGTGGGTTTTTTTCTGGTACTGGGAATTGAACTCACGACCCTGCGCTTGCCAGGCAGGCGCTGTGCCGTTGAGCTAAATCCCCAGCCCCCAAAGCTTTTGTATCTACTCTCAACCTTGCAGCTGGAGTGGCGCCAGCAGACTGGAGACTAAATGGGGAAGCTGGACTTCTTCCTGTCTCTCCAGCTGCCCACCTCACCCCAGGTGCTACTCCTCTTCCTGACTGAGGTTTTGGAGAATTTTGGAATCAAGCTAGAGAAAGGGATTCTTTAATTCTATCGCAGTACGTTTTGTTTGTCTGTTGTCTTTTTGAGACAGGGTCTTGCCACGCAGTTCACGCTGGCCTCGAGCTCACTTTGTAGCCCAGGCTGGTCTTGAACTCGCAAAGATCCTCCCGAGTGCTGGGATTGCAGGCGTGCGCTACCACGCCCGGTGGGATTCCTTAATTCTAAAGAGAGTTCTGGACAGATGCCCAAGTGACATGTGTGTGACCTGATCAGGAGTAGCACAGCACAGTCAACTATGTGGACACTGCCCAGTCCTGCAGGAGCCTCTAGACAGCACATGAGCAAAGCAGTCTGGAATAGCTTTTTAAAGACTAAACAAAAACTAGCTCACAAAAGTAGGGCAGGCCCGGCACCCCAAATCTTAGCCATAGAAATTGGCCTTGGTTCCTAGTATTATTTTGTTGGTTTTGATTCTTTATTCCAGCCAGTAAAAAACTTGAGCTACCCTGGCTAGTTTTGGGGCCAGTGAAGAGTTAAAAATCCTGTAAGGTGTTCAACTTACTGATGAAAAAGCAGCAAGCTGGGACAGATCCAAGGCACCCCATAAGACACCTTATTCTAATTTGGCGATTCCCTGGCCTTTTCAGGAGACATCCATGTGTCACGGAAACATGGCCAAGTGCTATTGGCACTGACTCCATGCCTGACACAGCCAGGCCGCTCCCAGCTGCTGAGGCTCTAGAAGACAGAGGCCTGGGGCGGCCCAGCTGTACCAGGCAACTGGAAGACAGTGGATCTTAGGTATTCCCTGGCAAAGTAACACAATTCTCTGTTCTTTCTCTGGGCTCCTTACCTTACATAAAGGAAAGCTAGGTATTTTACAGGTGCCTTAGCTGGGTGTGGTGGTACACTTCTATAATCCCAGCACTGAGAGGCTGAAACAGGTGGACTGCCGAAAGTCTGAGGTCAGCCTGAACTAGAATAGTGAGACCCCATCTTGAGAAACTAAAAAAAAAAAAAAAAAAACAACCCAAAATAAACAATAAAGGTGTCTTGTATCAAGATCCTCCCCCTCCCCTTTTGAGGAATACTAGGGATTGAAGTTAGGGCCTTCACACTGAGCTACATCCCCAGGTGCCCATCCCCTCCATTTTAAAATTTTGAGACAGGATCTCACTAAATTGCTGAATTGCCCAGCCTGGGCTCAAACTTGCAATTCTCCTGCCTCAGAATCCCAGACTGCTGGGATTAGGATTGTAGGCATGTACCACTATTCCCTGCTCCAAGTTTCTTTGTAAAATTGAAAACCCTTGGTCAAGGTATATTGAAGACTTTGAGTTTTTAAAGTGAGCTATACCTGTGTGCAAGGACAATGCTACCTGTGTTGGCCCCTTTTCCTTATGGAACTGAGAGCTTTCATTTCAGACTCAGTGTATGCACTGAAGGTGGTATCTGATCCTGGCTTTCACAGGCCAGCAGGGGCAGAGCCACCACTCACCCCAACCACCTCCACGGGGTAGGAACCTAGGTACCCTAAGTGACAGGGACATGTATGAGGCAGTGCCCAACACTCTGCAAGGGATACAGAGAAGTCATGTTTGGAGAGCCAAGTAAGCAGCTGGAAAAAATCCCTGGAAATGGGAAGGAAATTTGTTAGGCTTCTGCAAATGGTTTCCACACTTCAAAGAACCTTTCTGAGCTCAAGGGGAAGATTTCAGACAACATTAGAGAAGGGAAACCAGGTACCTGATAATCAATATAGCAGGTGTAAGGCCATGAGGGATTCCTTCAGCGCCAGGAGGACTACTCAGAAGAGACCAGGCCTTGACAAGTGGGGCAAGTCCTGCTGACACCAAAGCACATCAGCGTGACAAGTGTAGTCTACAGGGGCCAAACAGGGCTGATGGGCAAAGATGTCATGGTGATCCAGACACGCGTGGTCTGAGATAAAAGGACACAGAACAAGACGACTGGGCAAACAGCCAAACAGTGGCAGAGGGTTCTGCATTTCCAAGAGATGATCCACTTAGTAACTGGAAGATGCTAGTCTGGCCAACAGGCTCAGAGAGAAAAGACTAACACAATGAAGTCTCTTTCTCTTTTGGATCAATCCATGTGCTGGAAATTAATTTTTGCACAAGCAAAATCAAGTGAGGGAAGGGACAAACATGGCTTCCAAACTAAAGTAGCCAGTTAGGTTGGAAAATCTTGTCCAAAACGATGCGATGCATGGGCAAGATTTACTTATTTCTTTTTATTATTATGGTGCTTTTATTAAAGTGGTGGTTTCTTTCCTGTTGTTTCTGAGCTTAACAAGTCGGAACAGGAGGGTTGAGGAGGGAGTCCTGAGTACTGCTTGCTGCCTACCCAAGTCCCCAACAGGCCAATCAGCATCACTGCTGAGAGTGGAAATGGGGCTCTAGGAGCTCTTCGGGGCAAGGGAACCTCCTCCTCAGTCTGCTGCCAGCCTCCAGGCTTCCACTGCACAAGGCCTGTAGGTAGGTGAGCTGCTGCCAGCCTGGCTGGGCACACTGACAGTCTGCTGACTCACAGAGGCAGGGGAGCTGGTGGTCTACACAGCAAAGGGCTGTTTCAGTGGGAGAGGAGCACACCAGAAATCTTGGAGGAGAAGCTCAAGCAGGTTGCCTGTGTGCAGAGAATGGCATATTAGTTCCATCAGGGACACAGACAGCAAGTCCCAGGGAGACTGGGGGGGCATTGCTTGGATGCTTCCCGTTGCCACTTCATTTCCTCCTGATGACCCAGCTACATGTTCCAACAGCCAACCCCCATGCAATGATCTGTTGTGTGGAGTGGGCATCAGGGTCAGTGGAGTCGAGCTCAGAGCCCATTGCTGTCAATGGCTGTCACAGAGGCAGGTGTTGAGGAACGTGAGGTGGTGGCTGAGGTCTTGTCCAGGGCTGGGCTGGGCACACTGCAGTCAGTAGACCTGGCTGAGGAGCTCCTCCCTCCGGGTAGCAGTGGCCGGCTCTGGCTGTGGGGACTCTGGCCATGAAGGCTCTGGCCACAGAGGCGGTGGTGCCGCTCCCAGTCCTTGTGTTGGCAGAAAGAGCCGCAGTACCGTGCAATATTGCAGCCACTGCATGTCTCACTAGCTTTGCGGCCACAGTTCCAGCAATTCTGTAAGACAGAGGCATAGGTTAGTGGCTGCATTTATCAAATGTCACTTACATGGTAGAGCAGGAGCTTGGCAACCTACCTGCGGTTGAATCCTGCCTTTCCTACGGCTTGACCATGGGCTCTCTCCCACCCACTGCCCTTCACCTGTGCAACAGGAAAACTACCTATTCATGGGACAGTGAGTCAAGAGCATATGTGAAGACGCCTTGCCCAGACCAGCTTGGGCAGGGTGGTCCTTACCTCTTGCGTAAGGCACAGACTCCTCTTTTGCTTCAGAGACCTAACCAAACTCTTTCCCAGGGTCTTGCTGCCACAGATATCATCCTAAGATCACATATTCATTCATGTGCTTGAATATTTTTCTCTTGTTCTTCCATTAAAGGAATAATCATTACTGTTTTTACCTATAATACCTGATCTTTTATTTTATTTATTTATTTATTTTTTTTTTTTCTGGTACTGGGAATCGAACTTACAACCTTGTGCTTGCCAGCCAGGTGCTGTGCCACTGAGCTAAATCCCCAGCCCCAAAACCTGATCTTTTAACGAAGAATTTTAAAGGAATACAGGCAAAGCTAGCTTTTCCAAAAAGTCATCTACCAAGGAAGCAGGATAGGTAAAGAGAAGGGAACTGGATGTGCTACTTCTTCCTTTGTTCTGTGTGTCTGTTTCTTTTGCTGACCTGATTTTTCATAAATGGGGAGGTAACAAGGGAAAAATGTAGGCCTTTTAGGGTCACTCAAGGCGCTAAAAGTCTAGCTCAGGTAGTTTTCCCACTTGTATTTTCTGAGTGGGGCAGGTTCTCCTAGGGCCCAGCAGAAACCACTGGGGACAGCACACTAGTTGAGAATGCTTGAATTCTATTACAGAAGATATGAGCCAAGTGAAGTTTGGTCAGAGCTGAAAGTAGCAGCCATGAAAGCAGCAGTAGAAATAGTGAACAGACAACTTGATGTCTCCCCAAATCAGCTAAGAACGAGTGCAGAGAATACATGTGGCCACAGTGTAGCCACCATAGGTTCCACGAGGATTCTGGTACTGACATGAGAGTCTGCACCCAAGGGCTCCAGGACCCACTGCTAAGAAAAAAGCTTTACAGCACTTGCCAGTTGCAGCCATTGGGAAGCACCTGGCAGCCAGTCTTCTTGCCCACAAGGATGCAAGAAGCCAGTCAGAGGCCTGGCTGCACACTACACAGTAAAGAAAGACCCCTGCCCACTCTGTGTATAGAATGAGAAATGACAGAATTAGGGGACCCCTCTGGGCCATCTCTTGTATTGTACAGACGGGAAAACCATGACCCAGATGTGCTAAGGTTATGAAATGATCGAGGGGCTGTGCAAAGCCTGGGACGCAACTCCTGATACTGTGATACCCTGTAAGTGTGATCTCAAAGCACATTAAGACAACTGCAGATTCTCTTCTTGCCTGGCGTGGTGGTACACATCTGTAGTCCCAGCACTCGGGAGGCTGAGGCAGGAGGACTACTGTGAGTTCGAGGCCAGCCTGGGCTACAAAGTGAGTTCAAAGCCAGCCTGAACTGCATCGTAAGATCATGTCTCAAAAAGACAAAAGGGGGGGGGGGGCGGAAAAAGACAACTGTAGATTCTCTTCTAATACAGACTCCTCAAGAAAGATACTCGAGGGACCATCAACAGTTGCAAACACCACCACCAGAGGGCCAAAGAGGGGGAGACACAATTCTTAGGTGATGATTATAGACCCTCTAACAAACTGTCTTCCACAGAATTTACTTCTGTTCGGTCCATAAGCTGCTTCCCAAGCATGCTGCGGCAAAATGCTGTCACTTATGAAGAAGCAGCCGGCTGCTGCCTACACAGGCTGCTGCCAAAAGGGTGTACAAGATTCACCTCCGTCAGTCTGCAAGGACATCTCAGAACTGGGTCAAAAGTTGGGCAAGGTAGAATACACTACCTATAATCCCATCACTTAGGGAAGCTGAGGCACGAATATGGCAAGTTCAAGTCCTGCTGGGGCAACACAGTGCAACCTTATCTCAAACTTTAAAAAGTGTGTGTGGGGCGGAGAGCTGGGGATATTGCTCAGTGGTGAAATACCTAGGTGTGTCCAAAAAAAAGAGAACTGTGTCAGAGTATGAAACCTCTGGTATTTTTACTTTGGCTGGCTGCCATTATTTTTAAAATGGCTTATTTCAAGATTTACGAAATACAGTAAGATAAAGTAAACAGTCTCCACAGAGGCAGGCTCATAGAAATGCAAGAATGGTGTGGTTAGTGGCAGAGAAGCCAGAGATAAAAAGGACAATTTCATGTTCTCTTCTTGGCTTTCCCCTAGGAAAGATCTCTTCCCCTAGGAGAGATTTTTTTTTTGCCAAGATATGAGACAAAGCAGGGTGCAGTCCTAGATATTCAGGAGGCTGGGGCAGGAGAGGATCACTTGAGTCCAGGTATTCAAGGCCAAACTGGACAACACTGTGAAGGCCAGCCTTCATTAAAAAAAGTGTAAGACAAAAAGTTGACTGTTATGGTAATGGTTTACCTCAAACCTGGAATAATAGTCTTGACCACATAGTCCTCTGTAGTTAATGGGAATGCTACAAAACTTAGCTGTGGTAACAAAAGTTAGAAATATGATTTCAATACCAAGTGTGGTGGTGCACACCTATAATCTTAGGACCTGGGAGGCTGAGGCAGGAGGGCTGCCATGAGTATGAGGCCAAGCTGGGATACATAGTGAGTTCAAGTCCAGCCTGAACTACATAGTGAGAACCTCTCCCTCTCCCTCTCCCCTCTCCCTCTCCCTCTCCCTCCCCTCCCCTTCCCTCTTCCTCTCTCTCTCTCTCTCTCTCTCTCTCACACACACACACACACACACACACACACACACACACACACACACAAAGGAATGGGGGGAGAAAAAGATGAACTCAAAACTTGTCAGTGGGTATGCTGGTACCTGCCTGCAATCCTAGCATTCAGAAGGCTGAGGTGAGAGGATGGCCATGAATTAAGAGGCCAGCCTGGGCTACATCGTGAGTTCAAGGCCAGCCTGAACTGTACAGTAAGACCTTGTGTCAACAAACCAAAAATAAAATAAAATTTCTCTTGTCAAGTAGAAAGCATCAGTTATGTCTGCATCACTCCAAGTGTGGCCCAGGACTCATTTATGTTATTATCAGAACTGCCGGAGCTTAGCTGGATATGGTAGTGCCCACCTGTAATGCCAGCACTTGGGAGGCTGAGGCAGGAGGATCACTATGAATACAAGGCCTGCCTGAGGTACAGTGAGGTCAAGATCAGTCTAAACTACATAATTAGACCATGTCTCAAAAAGCAAACCCCCAAACTACAAGGACTTGTCAAAACTCTTGGGACCAAATGTAATCATTATGTAGTGTAAACATGTACTAATAAAGACAAAAACTAAAAAAAATCCTTGGGCCCTATCTCAGACCTCCCTGACCTTATTGCAATTCTGGCCAAAGGAGAAAAGACACCCATTTTATGGGTGGCTGCTAACCCATTATGTTGCCAGGAAAGCCAAAGAGGAGACAAGAACAAGCCCTGGAGCAGAGACAAGGAGACCTCTCTGTGTCCCTCCATCCCCAGGCACTACAGGGAGAAGCCTGGGTCTGGCCTGTGCTGTGTGAGGAGCTGCCACAGCTTACACACTAACTGCATGGGGCACTGCTCCCACACATGGCCTCACTATTTTTCTAAGAACTGCCAAGCCAAGGACAGGTGCCGCGACATGCGTGGTACAGAGGAGAAAGCCGGTTCCTTGGGGGTGCGCTGCCAGTGTGAGGGAGGCGTGGACTAGATGTCAGGGCTTTCAATCTCTAGCCCTAGACTCCTTCCCCCACACTAGACAGCTTCTCACAAGATGAAGGAGAAACTCCAGGGACATGGTAAACATCAAGGAGAATTTTCTGGATGAAATGGAGAAGAACTATCCCTTCTGGTCCAATATAAACTCAGTGAAAACTTAGCCCCTCCATCCTTGCCCTATTTTGGAAAGTAAGTTTTGCTGAGATAGGTGGGGGCAAGCCCCTCACATGCAGGCCACTTTGTGAACTTTTATAAGTACAGTTTCTTAAAGACACATCCTTTACATGGAGAGCTGGGACTTAAACCTACACAAGCCAGATCCAGAACACATCCTCTTAGTCAAGGCCATATTCTTTTTGGAGACCAACACAGTTAAACACAGAAGGCTGGGGATATAGTGTATGGCAGAATGCTTGTCTGGAGTCCAAGAGGCCCTGGTTTGTTTGATCTCCAAAAACAGACAGACACACACACACACACATACACAACATAGATGTAAAATTAGATAAATACAAGCAAATGCAGATATTGATACGAGTGGCTATAAATACAGAAACAGTAGAAGATATATCTCTGCTCAAAAACAATGCTAAAGCTGGGTGTGCAGGAGGATCTCAAGCTTGACTAGCCTGGACAATGCAGTGAAAGATACTGACACAAAAATAAAAAATAATTTAAAAAATTTAAAGGCCTGAGAATGTAGCTCAGTGTGACAGACCTAGGTTCAATACCCAATACCTCAGAAACAAACAGAAAACAAAAGAACAAAAAACCCTCAATTCTACAGGAAAAGTTGGGAAAAGACAAAAGAGAGATGTGAAAGAACTATATTTTCACATCCATAGTATTCTGGTTTTTCTGTTTTGTTTTGTTTTGTTTTTTTTAGTACTGGGAATCAAACTCATGACCTTTCGCTTGCCAGGCAGGCACTTATGCCACTGAGCTATATTCCTGGCCTTTTTGTTGTTTTTTTGAGACAGGATCTTGCTACCCAGTTCAGGCTGACCTTGAATTCACAATGATCCTCCTGCCTCAGCCTTCCGAGTGCTGCGATTACAGTGTGACCACCATGCCTGGCTCAACAGAGTGCCACTATAATGCATTTTAACATATCCCCTATGATAGCACATGATATTGAGGCCATCTTCATCCTTACATAACCATGTTTGGAATTGTTATATTGAAAAGGATCATTTAAATATGAAAAAATAAAATTTTATTCATTCATTCTTTCATGCACTCATTCAGAGACAGGGTCTCACTTTGTAGCTCAGGCTGGTCTTGAACTCACTAGCAATACTTCTGCCTCAGCCTCCCAAGTGCTGGCATTACAGGTGGGCACCAACACATCCAGTATTCTGTTGTTTTATTTAAAAAACAAAACCAGCCAGTTGCAGTAGCTCATGCTTGTAATCCCAGCACTCTGGGAGGCTGACAGGAAGATCACAAATTTGACCTCAAGCTTGGCAACTCAGTGTAACCTTATCTCAAAACTAAAATAACAAATATCCACGAACCAAAATCAAACCCCCAAGCCATATATATATATAATTTTTTTTTTTTTTTTGGTCTTTTTGAGACAGGGTCTCGCTATGCAGTTCAGGCTGGCCTTCAGCTCACTTTGTAGTCCAGGCTGATCTCGAACTCACAATGATCCTCCTGCCTTAGCTTCCTGAGTGCTGGGATTACAGGTGTGTGCCACCGTGCCCGGCCAATATGTATTTTTATATACATGTATGCATGTATGTATGAGAGTATTTTATCAGATTGGTGTGTAGAGTCCCAAAGTGAAAACTGTAACTCCTGGTACAGCACCGAGGCCAACAAGTGGGTGTGCTCCCTCAGCAGACAGCCTCAGCCTCAGCCTCAGGGCCTTAAGAGAGCTCTGACCTCCGTGGACTCCTCTTGCTCATTGATGACGAGGAAGGCATCCTCTGCAGCCTGTCGTTTGACATCTGCAATGGTTTGCTCCATTCGAGCTCTCTCTGTTGCAATCACTTCAAATGCTTTTTGCTCAGCCTCGGCAACGGCCTTCTGTACTTCGGACATGGCCTGAATTTTCACCTTATTCACAGCTTCTTCTAGAAGAAAGTGACAGTAAAATCAACTGGCCGAGAAATCTTTTCCCTCCCACCCCAAAGCATTTCTAAGAACAGAGAGAGTGGAAGTAAGATCCGCAGGTGTGAACACTTGTTCTGTGCACACACACTTATTCTCACAGTTGTGCTGTTCATTCGTGCAGTCACGTGTTAGGGATGAAGACCAGGGTGGGCACTGTGCTAGGGCTGGGGATACACAGGTAACTACACATCATCCACCCTCTTCTGTTTGTGGTCAAATTATAATGGTGCCTTAGGTGGCATTGTACATGTCACTGTGAGAGGCTAGCATTCCCCAAAAAGGGAGGGTACCTAGAGTTTCACAGAGAAAAATGGTCAACTCTACAAGGGCAGAGAAAGATCAAAGCAGTATGTTTTGGTGGAGATGATAGGTGGAAATGAAGTTTTCAAAAAAGTCCTGCACAGCTTATTTGGTCCTGTGAGCTAAAGGAAATGCGAAGTTCCCCAAGTTGTGGTGGTGAACCTATGACATGTGTGCCACAGTGGATTGTTTGTATCACTGAAAGCTCTAGAAGGTTCGCCATCTCTGCCCTAAAGGATTCTATGCAAGAAGAAAAAGACTAACTGTGAGGTTGCAGCAGTGACCCAGCTGAGAGGGACTGTGAGTTTATGGAGGAGCAAGTGGCACCCAGGAGGGAAGAATCAGAAGGAAGGGGGTAGCACTGAGGGTATGGATATGGAAGAGGAGAATGGTGATGTTAGGTGATGAATGGCACTATGCAGAAAGCTGGCATGGAAGCAAGTGAGATGGCTGAGATGTTCTCTAGGGCATCCTGATGTAAATGACCAGAGGGCAGTTAGGTACAAGAGACAGAGCACAGCAGAGAAACTTGGGCTGAAGATGGAGGTTTTGGCAGATGGCCAGGAGCCCTGGTCTTCCACTCTGGCCAGTTACCCTCACTCTGCTTGGTTTTTGATCACTTCCTTCTCATTCCACCATGCTGCTGTTTCCACTCAGTGGTCACTTCCAATCACATGCTCTATGCCTTGAGCCTCTGCCCAATAAAAATGTGAATGACCTTCCACAAGTCCACAAGATGACATAACCCAGATGTGTAAGGAACTCCCTTATAGCTTGGTCCTTGTACGTAACTCAAACTCAAAGGAGGCTGAAACAATGTTCTAGGCTACTATGCTAAAACTTTCCATCTTAAGGTATTTTCCATCTTCACTGCAGGGGCCAAAGACTCCAGGCTTCCTTTTCTCTGGGTATCCACACAGGTCCATGTGGCCCACTCCAGTTATCCTCCTATGCCTCTTACTAGATGTTAGGTAGGTGTGAAAAATCACTTGCTGAGCCCATGGAACCATTTCCGCTGATACATTTTATCTTCTCAGCTTAAGGATGAATCACTAAGAATCAGTTTGGGTATCTATATTCCTGGAGACCATCTAAGACAACAGGTGGCACTGCAGCACAGCAAGGATTCATATCTCTCCACGCAGTACCAAAGTTGGGCTCTTAACCATAGATATTCAAAGTTCTTCCCAAGTAATCAAAGCCACTAATTTGAAGGAGATCATGTACACGATAATCTCTCTCCACCTTATAATTATCTTCATTTCCCACAATTCTAATCTATTTACTCTCAATATAATCTACAAGGCTGGGAGTGGTGGCGCAAGCCTATAATCCCAGCACTTAGGAGGCTGAGGCAGGAGGATCACTGTGAGTTCGAGACCAGCCTGGGCTACAAAGTGAGCTCAAGGCCAACCTGAACTGCACAGCAAGACCCTGTCTCAAAAAGACAAAAACAAAAAACAATCAATATAATCTACATTTTTTTCATTTGCAATTGCATATAGTTTTGCAAATTGTTTTACATGGTAAAATAATATTTTGTTGTGTGGTATCAAACTCTAACATAACTACTCATAGATATTTGGGCATTTTCCAGGTTGCTTCTCCCTTACCATGAGAATATACAAAATAATAATGATACTTAAAAGTGTACTAAAAACAGTATCTTTTTGTGCTGAGGAGGATGGTCCTGAAAGATTTATCTCAGAGCCTGTCACATGCTAGGCAAACACTCAACCACTGAGCTATACCCCAGCTTATACACAACTTGTATTTAAGTCCAACCATTTGCTTTGGAAGGAAGCATTCAAAAGCATGAAAATGAAGAACTGCATGTATTTACTGTTGATAATGCTTAATTTCTTATATAAACCTCTGATGAACTGATTAGCGTCATCAACAAAGTAGTCTAAAATGCTGTCAATAACTATTCTAAGACTTTAAACTGGGTGTGGCAGCTCATCCCTGTACTCCCAGCACTTGGGAGGCTGAGATAGAAGGATCCCTGTAGATTCAAGGCCAGCCCAAATCACATAGCGAGGCCCTATCTCAGAAAAATCAAAAAAACAAAGGCCTGGAATATAGCTCAGCAGCGCAGCACCTGCCTGGCAAGCACAAGGTCCTGAGTTCAATTTCCGGTATAAACAGCAACAACAACAACAACACAAAGACTTTAGATGGTGCATGCCTGTAATCCCAACACCTGGAAGGCAGAGGCAAGAGGATCGGCATGAGCTCAAAACCAGTCTGACCCTGCCTCAAGGAAAAAAAAAACATCTTAGGGAGCTGGGGATGGTAGGTACACTTGTAATCCCAGTACTAGCACGAAAGAAGTCGAGGCATGAGGACTGTGAGTTCAAGACCAGCCTGGGCTGTAATGTGAGTACATGGCTACTGTGGACTACATAGTAAGACTCCCATCTCAAAAAACAAAACGCAAAATAAACAAAACAAAAAACTTTGGGGCTACTTTGTCAGGAATGCTTTATCTTGCATGAAGGAAAAGAAGGCCAGTATCTGGATAAGGATAGCATTAATGATCTGAGGCTAGTTTTATCCCTCATCTTACTGGAGCTGGCAGCCCTCACCCACCTTTATTCTGGTAAAGGCCTACAAGGACAATTTTTTTTTTTTAAATTGGGGTGGGGTGGGGAGGGGTGGGAAAAGCAGATGGATAAAGAGCTGTGCCAAATGCAGAATGAAGCAGATGTAGAGACAGTATGTGAAAAGACTGGGCAGAAATGAATTAACTTCTATCAAAGGAAAGAAAAATTGGTTACTTCATGCCTTAGGGTGACCCAGTATAAGTGTGTGAAGGGCCTAGAGGAATCAATTCCAAATTCCTAACCTGCAAAAGAACAAGACCAGCAACCCAGATAAGCTGGATGAAGAAAAGTATGAATTAAGAGCTTCGTGAGGAGCTTATTAGACAACCGAAGTGCCAGTTACTAACCTTTTCTGCCAGTATGCATTCCCTGTTAGTACAAGCTGGTGAGTACATGCAGCCTATGAGCAAGCACACATACCTGTTTTCTTCCAGAACTCCACAGGTACATATCCTGTTCCAGGTCTACTGTTGAATTCCCGCTGAGAATCTGCAGCAGAGAGATAAGAGACCATACAGTCAGAAAGCTCTCTTTAATCAATAGTTTTGGCTATCGAGCCTCTTCGTGGTAGGTCCTCCTACACTGTAGGGTATATTTCTATTTTTTCTCCCTTTTTCCTTGATCCAAACTCACTCTGCAGAGTCTATTTTTCCCTTACCCTTCAGCTTTTTCCCTACCTTTAAAAAAATGTGAAACTTGAAAAAAAAATTTCAAAATTTTATTTTTCTAGTGTTTGAGGAATAAACCCAGGGCCTCACACATGCTAGGCAAGCGCTCCAGCACTAAGCTATATTCTCCAGCCCATGAAACAAAATTTCATTAGGTTTTGCACTCACCACTTCATCATTTAGCGCTAAAAATGTTCTAATGAGGGTTAATATCAGCTTATAAAATAGTATCTTCCTTCCTTCCTTCCTTCCTTCTTTTTGGTTTTGTGAGACAGGGTGTTGCTTTGTACCCAGGTTGGCTTTGAACTCGTGGTGAGCCTCCTGCCTCAGCGTCCCAAGTGCTGGGATCAGAGGCGCGCACGACCATGCCTGGCCTTCTACTTTTACTTTGTAACCATATACACATGCATCAAATATTAGCAGTATTTCAAAGCACTGAGTTTCTAAGTGATCTTTTTACTTATCTATGTGCTTTGACTTTTCCTCCTATAAATATGTGCTTTATGTGAATGTTACATGATGTCAGGGATTGAACCCATGGCCTTGCCTTGTGCATGCCAGGCAAGCTCTACCACTGACCCATACCCTCACCTACATATGTGTTTCTAAGGTACTCCCTAAATAAAGCACATAGATACTTATGGTATACGTATGTTTCTGTCTACATATGTCCATGTCTCACTTAACCTTCCTCATCACAAACAGGTCTCTGGCACTGCTCTATAGAAGTGTCAGAGAATACAGCTTTTCTCTTCAAATTCTGAATCTGTATGTTCAAGGCAGTTTCTTTTAAAGTTTCTTATAATACTTATAAATTAAACTAAGAGAAAAAGCTACTAGGAAAGAAAATACTCAGACCTCAGTGCTAACAGCAGAAGAACCACTACAGTGTGCTGAGAAGGACACTGTGGAGGGTGAATCATATCTTTACTCTATTATAAAGTATAATTATTTTAATTTTTTTTATTTTGTATTTTTTTGAGACAGGGTCTTGCTCTGCAGTTCAGGGTAGCCTTGAACTCACCCTATAGCCCAGGCTGGCCTCCAACTTGCAGTGATCCTCCTGCCTCAGCCTCCTGAGTACTGGGATTGATTATAGGCACGTGCCAGTAGGCTTGGCAATATTTTTTAATAGGAAATGATTCTATTCTAAGAATGTGTGAAAGCTAACTAAGGTCATTTAATGCAGCCAATATATGAGTTACATTTTCTCTGAGTTTTTACAAAGTATTATAGAAAGTAACACTTATAATTACTTTTTGTGTTTTGAGACAGGGTCTTGCTATGTATCCAGGCTGCCCTTGAACTCACTATGTAGTCCAGGCTTGCCTTGAATCTGCAGTGATCTACCTGCCTTAGCCTCCTGAATGCTGGGATTACAGCATGTGCCACACCTGGCTAAAATCTGCCATTTTAGGTGTAAAATTCAATGACAGTACATTCACAATGTTTTACAGCTAAAACCACATTAAATTCTAGAACATTTTTATCACCTCAATAGGGAACCATAACCCAGGCTGATCATTTTAAAACTCTGATCACGGGGGCTGGGGATTTAGCTCAGTGGCAAAGCGCCTGCCTGGCAAGCGCAAGGTCGTGACTTCGGTTCCTGGTACCAGAGAAAAACAAAAAACAAAAAACAAACAAACAAAAAAAAAACTCTGATCACATGAAAACTTTTATGAGAGGGGCTGGGGAATTAGCTCAGCGGCAAAGCGCCTGCCTGGCAAGCGCAAGGTCGTGAGTTCGGTTCCCGGTACCGGAGAAAAACCAAAAAAAAAAAAAAAAAAGAAAACTTTTATGAGAATGGACCATCACCTTTGCAACAAGAAAAAAATGCAACTTTCTTTAATACAGATGAAGTCCTGGTTCATGTGGCCATATTAAATAGTTATCAACCAAGAAAAAGCCACCGGCTTTAGCCATCAGTACACCCTCGGTCATAGCCTTTGTACCTTCCCAGTGCTCAGCATTTTATTTCTGACAAAAGTAAAAGTTGAAATGGTCCTAGCCCTACAGCTGTCTCACAGCCTGGAAGCTGGGGACATTTTCATTCTGTGTGCAAAAGCCAGAGAAATAGTTTTTATACTCTAACCCCAAAAGAGACAGAAGTTAGGACTGTCAAGTATTTCACTAAGAAAGGTAAACGCTAGGAGCTCACTGAAATTGAAGGCCAGATAGTACAAATAACTGGGTCAGAAAACGGGTCATGGTATTGTGGTTATGTAAGAGAATGCTTAGTTTTTAGAAGAAATAGGGCAAAGCATTTAAAGGTAAGGGTCTTGATGTTTAGGGAGACAGTCCTACCTTTCCACCTAGGTAGAGATAAAGCAAATGTGGCAAAATGTTAAAACCTGGTCAAGTCAGATGTGGTGGTGCACGGCTGTAATCCCAGCACTCGGGAGGCTGAGGCAGGAGGACTGTTGCAAGTTCAAGGCCAGCCTGGGCTACATAGTGAGTTCAAGATCAACCTGAACTACACAGCAAGACCTTGTCTCAAAAAACACAAAACAAGAGCCAGGTGTGGTGGTGCACGCCTGTAATCCCAGCACTTGGGAGGCTGTGGCAGCAGGATTGTTGCGAGTTCGAGGCCAGCCAGGGCTACAAAACCAGTTCAAGACCAGCCTGAAACTAGATAGTGAGACCCTATCTCAAAAAGACAAAAAAACAAAACAACCCTCCAAAAGAAAACACAAAACAAAACCAAAGCACTGGTCAAATAAAGGCACTTGAATGAGTATCAGTGATACTCTTTCAACATTTCCATGTTTGAAAATCAAAGTAAAAAATTGGAATACATTATCTCTAAGCAGGAGCACAGAAAATTCTCCTAAGACATTAACTTATTAATGACTGAGACTTCGATTAGCGAAGTATGGTGGCAGGACTCTGACAGGGTGAGGGTAGAAGAACCCAAAGTTGAACGTCAAGCTGAGAATTCAGTGATTTAGAAAGACCATGTCTCATAAAAACAAAAACAAAAACAAAAACAAAACAACAACAACAAAAAATTTAAGAGCTGGATATGTAGCTCAGTGCAAAAGCCTTGGGTTCAATCCGTACTACAGGGGTGTGTGTGTATCTTTTTTTTCTTTTTGCAGTAGTGGGGACTGAACTGAGGCCTTGCTGTGTTTTGGGGAAGCACTCTACCAATATGTTACATCTACAGACCTTTTAAAAATTTTTTTATTTTAAGATGGGGTCTTGCTTAGTTGCCCAGGCTGGCTTCAAACTTGAGATTCTCCTGCCTTGGACTACCAAGTGGCTGGGATTATAGGTATGCACTTCTACATCTGGCTATATAAGAAAATTTATTTATTTAGCATTACTAGAGATTGAGCTCAGGGCTTTTATACTGAACTACTTTCCCAGTCCTTTAAAATGTTTTTTTTTTTGAGGACTAGTTTTTTTGAGAACAGGCCAATAATCTCAACACTTGGCAGGGTTGAGGCAGGAGGACTGCCATGAGTTTGAGGCCAGCCTGGACTATACAGCAAGATCCTGTCTCAAAAATAAATAAAAATTTTAATATTGAGACAGGGTCTCACGTAGTCACTAATTTACCCAAGCTGAGCTTGAACTTATGATCCTCCTGCCTCTGCCTCACAGAGTGCAGGAATTACAAATGTGGGTCATGGTGCCTGGCTATGAAATCTTTAATGATGTGAGAATGTGCCCACTACTACATAAATTACAGTTTTAAAGAAATCAATACACAACTATAATATGCTTTTCTCAGCTACTTTTCAAAATTCTTGTGTGGCAGGATGGAATATTGAATTCCTTACATTTCTGTATTTTCCACAATGAGCCATACAGCTTTACTGACAAACCTATCTTCATAACTGCACTGAGAATTAAATAGTGATGTACAGAAAGTAATGAGTCTCAACTTTTAGAGCTCAGGCAGGCCCCACATCAGATCAATTAAATCATAATTCCTAGAGGTGAGCAAGGGTATGGTGAGTTTTTCCAAGGTTCCCAAGGTAACGGGGATGTGTGGGGAAGCAATGATGACAGTGCCTAGTTTAGAACTCAGCACCCTTGGTTAAGGTCTTCATACTATACCAGGAGCATCACCTGTAAATCATGTGTACATTTCTTCTATTTTAACTATGGCAAAGCGTTTATTTTGCTTTCCAAAATGCAATTTTTAAAAGTAGAAATTAAAAAGCAGTAACAAGTATTTAACACTATACATTTTATTAAGTTACTACTAAAAGTTCAATTATAGAGCTGGGTGTGGTGGTACACATCTGTGATACCAAGACTCAGGAGGTTGAGGCAGGAGGGTCACTGTGAGTTCAAGGCCAATCTGGGCTTCATAGTGCGTTCAAGACCAGCCTAAATTACAAAGCAAGACACTGTTTCAAAAAAAAGCAAAACAAAAAAGTTTAAATATAGGAATAGCAACAGTTTTTCAGGTCAGTGATAAAGCTGCCATGTTTAATAGGATGAGCTACTTTCACAAACAGAATTTTGTGTTCAGATTTTGTCTTTTTTTTATAATACTGGAGATTTAACCCAGGAGCTTCACACTGAGCTACACCCTCAGCCCTTTTAGAAATTTATTTTCATAGAGGGTCTTGCTAAGACTAAAAATAAATAAATCAATCCGCAGTGATCAGCGTTTACATAGAATACTGTGACACTGACTCTTCATGTTTTTGCAATCCATTTGCCTCAGCCGGCTCAGTGCTGGAATTATTAACATGTGCCACCACAAAAATCTAACCTCAGGTTTAATCTGTGTCAGGCTGGCCTCTCACTTAAGTTTCATAAAAGAGAATGCACTTAGAAAACAAAAAGAGCAGGGCATGG